GGTGATGATTGTGCTTCGCTTTGTCCGTAAAAGATCAGTCCCCTTTCCACTCGACATAAGTACCACCTCTGTGTTCTCATACATAAAATATTACTAAATAAAATACCCTTGCATATGCAGGCTTATTGGTTCTCCGAAACACGGAATACCCGGAACTCACTCAGTCTCCCACGCGCTGCCTCCACCCTATTCACTAGATCCCCGATCTTTGCTGGCTATGTGTTTTGGGCAACATTACCAACGCAGGCCAAGACCAGCACGTCGATGGATAATTTTGTCGCTAAAATCTCTGCTCAATTATAGGTTTCATGTATATCCTGCTGGTTTGTCTCCTCCTTTGCCTTCTTTGCTTCCTATTTGTATTCTTTTATCTGTTTTACTGCTGTGGTTGGCTTTCACCCTTGTCTCAGTTTTATTGGCCGTCATCATGATGTGCCATGAGATAATGATATAAATACAAAATAAATACAAAAAGAGGCCTTCCGATGGATCATCAGCAGAATGGGAAATAAGTGCAATTGTGAAGACACATAGCAGGCGGTAAATGTAGTGCCACAAAACCAGACATCCAATGTACATACATGTGACACGAATCCCAGCACAGTCAACTAGTGGACAGAAAGGCTATGTGGTTGTAACTCAGTGCGTCATGATCAACACTGCTATCATCAGACAACGTCATAATGGTGCGTATGAGTATTATCATTGGCTTTTCCACAAAGCACTGCATCAACTGCCTGTCCGTAATCAGGTAATGCCAAGGACGGTCAGTGCGCGAGCCTCTCCGTGGTCTTCGGACCTCACCGAGCCAGTGATATGCCCTTGGCGCCGCGGGCCGCACTCCTGTCATAGAGCTGCTGACTATGGTACATAGACAACGGCATTGTTAGACTGTCTTTTGTCAACAGCACTTCTATTAGGATGCATAGGTCTACTGAGTGGTATTCAAGCCGTTTTCTTGGAGATGTCTATTCTACTTGAGAACGACAGGCTGGAGAACCGTATGGTAGCTGTCAAGGAGTCGCAAAATACCGGTACTTTTGCGACTCCCTGGTCGATGAGCAGAGCTGCTAAAATGATGACATCGGATCGCGTGAGTCAAGTATGCCCTTTGCACTGGGCAGCCGGCCCCAGACTTGGGAACCCAGGGATTTTTACTCCTCCAGGCCGCAAAGCTGACTCACTCGATAGGCCTTCATCTCTCCCCCTGGCCCTCTCTCTCGTACCGTTCACATGATGCAGTGCGCCTTGGCTGTGTTCACACCGGCTCTGAGATGTAGCACGTGATTCATCTACACTTGACGTCAGTGTGCATGATGTCAGTGTTCTCCATGCAGCATGGCGACTTGTGAAAGTCATACTCATACTCATACTCATAGTACTCATACTCATACTCATACTCATACTCATACTCATACTCATACTCATACTCATACTCATACTCATACTCATACTCATACTCATACTCATACTCATACTCATACTCATACTCATACTCATACTCATACTCATACTCATACTCATACTCATACTAGCCATAGCAAGAGTTCGTGCACAAAAGTCAATGACTGAGTAGATGGGATTTTTACCTGTAGGCTGTAGGCTGTAGGCTGTAGGCTGTAGGGACCTTTGTTGTCTGGTCGACACATTAGCAAAAGCAACACCAAACTACAAAAGTAATTGCACATGCGCTTAATTACAAGCCCCCCCCCCCTCCGTTGCACTATTCAAGAGAGTGCTGAACAGTATGTACATCGCGTATGTACACACGTACCCCTGAATTACTAATACTCACAATGCAAGCACACAGCAGCACCTACATGACGTCATTGTACATGTATCTGATGATAACCATGTTACAGAGTGTTGTTGAATACGAAACTGAGAGTAACGGAGTAAGACCTTGGCCTCTCTGTTCATGGCTTTGCCTGTGTCTGGTGAGCTGTTCCCCTACAATGTAGCTTGGGCAAAGATCATTATTTTCACTGTTAGGTCCCTGCACACTTTGTGTAGTGAAAGAGCTACATGTATGCACTTGGAGACCAGTATTAGGCCATCATGTAAGACCACTTGGGACCGTCAGATTACTAACTGGACCGTGCTAGCCTGGTAGGCATTATGCGGATAATGCCGGCAGAAATATTGGCAGAATTCGGTATTTTTTCTGGTAAGTTTCATGCATGTTTGGTATGTGGATAAAGAAATGGAGCAGAATTCGAGGAATTGCCCGCCATAAGGTTTGCATGGTTCTGCCAATTTCACTGCTTTTGGAGCAGAATTTGCCACCTTTTCGATCACTATCCGCACACCCCAGCCCTATAGACTGGGTAAAAATCCCGTCGATGGACGCAGTGATGCAGAGAACGTTGGGTACAGAACTACTGTTTTACATTGTGTACTCGGTCGGTAGATGAACAAAAGAATACTGGGGGAAAAATTCATACAAAATTGTTACTCAATCTGCGGACAGAACTGTTTCGTCCTTTGTGGACTCCTCAGCGCAGCACAGAGAAAATGAGGCCGAACCTGATAGCAATGAAAATAAAATTTCCAAAGCCAGATTTAAATCAGGCCCGAACGTACCTTGCCAGAGTGCTCAAACTGACAAGTCAGTGAGCTCTGCGTAAAATATACATAAGGCCACACTGAAGAAGGTCTGTGGTTCGACTCACCCGACCGACCGTACATTTTTCAGCCCGACCGTAACTTTTTTTCGGCGGGCTGTCGTGTGACTGACGTAGACCTACGTAGATCTACGTGGACTGAACACGTCCACGTCTACTAGTACGTGCTGTGCAGCGTGAGTCTGCGGACGCAGGCGCTAGGCGGCTCCTTTTGGACTTGACTTGTAGTTGTACTGCAGTGCAGTGCAGTGCAGTGAGTGGTACGACTGCTGCCTTGTGCTGGTAGTACTAGTAGAGTCTACTCGATACGACCACCGGCACCGGCAGACTGGCGAGACTTATTTTGAAGTGACCGTCCGGTTGAGAGTGATTGCCTCGTTCCAGATTAAGGACGGCCTTCTGTTTTGGGATGAAGGACAGACGAGATTGCACTGTCCTCGTGTATTGGGAACGATATTTCACCTGTACCGGTAAGTTAGTTGCTGCTCCATGTGTGCAAGCACAGGAAGCGTCGATGGAAAAAGCCCATGTATTAGGGACCGGCGGATTCTGCTCCAAAAGGTGGCAGATTCTGCTCGAAAAGCAGTGAAATTGGCAGAACCATACAAACCTTATGGCGGGCAATTCCTCGAATTCTGCTCCATTTCTTTATCCACATACCAAACATGCATGAAACTTACCAGAAAAAGTACCGAATTCTGCTATTTTTTCTGCCGGCAGAATCCGCCGGACCCTACCATGTATTCGTGCACGCCGACACCAAACTAGCAATACATGTACCGGTACATTGTACAATTTGTACTTCGAAGTAGTTCCCGAACTTACTTTCAACTCGCATCGTTCTTCATTTGCTTGATGATTTGGACAGTCAGAGTCACCGCTTGAAGTTATTCTCTTCTCGTTCCAGAGCTACACAATGTTTCAAAGTATTAGCCAGTGATCCCTTTATACAACATGTATGGCATAACACTGCGTAATAATGCCGATGTACTGGGTGTCTAAAGGCAGTACAGTGTATTTACATGTACTAAAAAATATATTTAAAAAAAAATCCGCCCGCCCGCCCGTAAAAAAATGTCCATGTTAGTCGAACCACACACCTTCTTTAGTTTGGCCTAATTGTTTTGTATTCCGAGAGGAAAACTTCATATACATAATTGTTTTGTACTCGTATTGGGACTCAGACCGTGAATATATCCGTGATTTCTGCGGGGCACGCACTTGTCCCCACCAGCAAAGTGATCGGCGGAGCAACTCTCTCAAACTCCAAAGTACCTGCACGCACACAAACACTTCTGTACAGGGGATTGGTTCATGCCTGCCATGCCAGGCTCAAGCCCTCGCTTGTGTAAGTGTGTGTTTAACCCTGTGAAGGTTTGAAGGGCTAAGGAACGCGTGAAATTTGCACATCCATCATTCTGCCATAACTTACGTTTTGTTTGCTTGGTTTTGGTAATCTAGGGCTCATTGAAACGCTCTTTCCGCTGCCAAGAGAATGAGGCCACGCTCAACTGCATGGATGCCACAAAGCGTGCTGTTAAAACATAAAGGCCCAACTGGATGACATTCTGTGCATTATGACTGTTAGCCCTGGTTTTCGTAATCACCAACATTCTACATCTCTGTCGTCTCTCACACACCACTTGCCAATGATAAGTAGTTCAGCCTGCAGCATTCCGCTGGGCTCATTCGCCAATTGATCAATTCAAAGGGAGCAATTCTCGCGACAAGGCGCAAGTTGGTAACAAGCAACAAACAGGTACACAACAAAGAAAACCGAGAGGACTTCTGTGCGGATATTGTCCCGAGGACCTATGAGTAGCGCAGCAGCTGACTGCAAGAAAACAATGCGAGAGATGTGGGTGGCTGGCACATTCACAGCACTGCGATACAATCCATAGTAGATCTACGAATGCACGTATATGTACATGCGTAGCAACTGATTGGAGTAGGAGAAGCTGAGAACTACCTTAGTTAGCGCTCTGACGGGAAAAAGCGTGGAGATTTCGACCTCTCTCTCGACCTCTCTCACTCACTGGGACTCACACTGTACCAGCGCTAGTAAGGATAGTGACCAGGGTGGGGGGGGGGGGGGAATGGTATTATTTTAGTAAACTACACAGTCGTCAGCACGTTATGCAGCTAGAGCGGGTCTGTTGCACATTCCTTCTTTTCTGGCATCGTCGACCAGAAACGAAACTGACTACACAGCGTAGTGCTCTGGTACTCAGTAGACAGTACTCAATGATCTGGCCACCGAATGTAGAGCCCTCTTCTAGAACAGCATAGTATTATCTTTTACAGGTTTAAGGCCAAGGAATTGCCTTTGTTTGCCTCGTTCAGTTACGGCGAGGTGCTGCTGCTATGGGTGAAACCATGCAGTGGATGTGTGCTGTGTTATCACTGGTGTCAATGTTTTCCACTCAATTCTTGCTAGCTGATAGTGTCAGCAGCATCGGTGGTGGACACTCTGGCGATGGCGTAGTGCTGCTACAATGTGCTCCGGGTCAACTAAACTGCAGCACGTCCACCGTAGCCTGTTCGTCGGACTCCGTCAATCCTGGACTGTTGACGTGCAGTTGTGCCGACAACGTCACTGCTTCTCCGTCTGCAGCAGGCGCAGGCTTCCTGGGCGCATCGTGTGTTGAGATTGATCCGTGTCGACAGGGATCTGTGCAGAACTGCTCCAGAACCGGTGGCGTGTGCTTGAGCTCCGATGGCGAATCGAACTGCTACTGCAGCGGAAATAGGAGCGTTGTCGGCGGCGAGGATGACGCCGTGTTTTCGTGTGTGCTGCTGACTGAAAACTGTGAAAGCAGTGTTGAGGATGGGGTCGGTGCGACGCTAGGTAGTACAGCATGTGCTGCCATTGGTGGAGAGTGTGGGATGATGAGCAACGGTCGGACAAGGTGTGTGTGCAAGGTAGGTTACGCTGGTAATGGATACGTGTGTTCGGATATTGACGAATGCCATGCACACACTCACAACTGCTCTAGACCTGGTGCACTCTGTACCAATACCGCTGGTTCCTTCTTGTGCACGTGCAGACCCGGTTACCAAGGAAACGGGCTGACCTGCCATGCCATCACAGAGTGTGAGCTGGGACTGCATGACTGCTCAGCAGTGGGTAGTCGTTGCAGCAACATGCAGGGATCATTCCTCTGTACTTGCCTAGCAGGTTTTGCTGGGGATGGCAGACTGTGCAGGGATATTGATGAATGTGTTAATAGACAACACACATGCTCACGGTACGCTCAATGTCACAACTCCATAGGCGGCTACTCATGCGGTTGTCTTGGCAACTACTCTGGTGATGGATACCGATGCCATCCGGACGAGTGCGCCATGGGAGTGCATCGTTGCCATGGAGACAACATTGTCTGCCTGGACACGGAGGCAGGCTTTGACTGTATGTGTCCGGTCGGGTTTGAGCTCGACTCGACGCATTTTAGTTGTCAGGATCGTAATGAATACTGGGTAACAGTTGTCAACAGAACTACATGTGTGTGAACCTGGAAGGTAGCTTTGCTTGTCTGTGTGCCTATGGGTTTGAGCTGGCCCGGGTGTCAGGTCCAACACAATGCCTGGATGTGGATGAATGTGATTCTGCTGGAAATGGCAACGACTGTGCTGCTGTCGGTGAGCTGTGCAGAAATGTACCTGGTTCGTATCAGTGTCAGTGCCATGATGGGTTTGCTAGGTCTGAGACAAACTCTTCATGCAAAGGTACGTGTGTAGATTGCAGGATTACGATGAAAGAATTGGATTATTGCAGGTCTGCTGTATCTTGGCCGTTACAGGGTACTCAATAACCCGCCTGTTAGGCCACGTACCCGTTTGGAACCTTAAAGTGTAACCGTTTCCGCCTTACCTAGAAGCCCACTGGAATCACGACCCAGGGATGTTATTATTTCCAGACTATTGACCCTGGATAGGGAGACCACCTGGCAACAGAGACTACGTTCTGAAGGTGCTTTGAGCAGTCGTCTTAGACAGATTTCACCATACAATGCTTCACTGCAATTATCAGTATCTTATCAACTGCTTAGCCATCATAGGTATGTACCGTGTGATGTCAGTGTTTCTATCATACTGTGTGTCATATGTGCTATAGAAATCAATGAATGCTCCACCATGACTGACCCATGTCAGCCTGGGTCCCAGTGTCGTAATACAGAAGGCAGTTATGTATGTTCATGCTTGCCTGGCTTTCTACTGGTGGACGGGCAATGTCGCTCCTTGCCAGAATGCACTGAACAGACTGGTGAGTGGAATCACTTTCTAGTCCTACTCCTTATAAATACATTTTTTAGCGTTCATAAGTTTGAGTTGAAACGGGAAACGCTTGAAGTAAATATTGAATGTCACCACCAGGACTCAAACCAGCGAGCCTCCCTTATGGCCCGTGCTGCCTACGCTAAGGTGTAGTCGCCATACTAGCAGCGTCTCTTCGGATTTCGTAACTCACACCTCCTGCGAATCCACACATGCTGGTGGGGCACAGCCTTCACTGTAATCGAACACTTCACGTACAAACTAGGTCTGTGAGCACCAATAACTACTACGAAGTAAAATTGCCATGACGTTGAGGCAGTTAAAATGGGAATGTCTGACGAACAATTCACTGCCACCACATTTGTATTTGAAGTTATAATATTATGACAGAGAGTGCAAACTGCAAAGATCAGATCTGTACCTGACTGGGGTGTGGATTGTCCAAAAACAGGCCGGGACCAGATATGGCTATAAATAAATCATTTTTGATCAGCATTACAGTGCAAAGACACTGGTGCAAGAAAGAGTTGGATCACATTCAACATTATTGTGTTCCTTGCTGTTTTCTGAACACCACGTGCAGACATTGACTACTGCAATAGCACTGCACATGCTCTCTGCAAGCTGTACAACACCACCGAGATGTGTCTCTGCGCCAACGGGTTCAGCATGTCCCAGCACGGCTGTTGGAATATGAATGAATGCATACGTGGACAACACGACTGCTTCTCACTGGAACACACGGAATGCGTGGATACTGCAGGCTCCTACGAGTGTCTTTGCTCGACAGGGTATACACTGGACGACAACCAACAATGCCAAGATGTGGAGGAATGTGCAGACAATATGCACGATTGTGATGGTATGGAACTTGCCTTGTACATACAGTGCCTTTACAGAGCACTCTGTCTTTCCTCTTCCTCGAAACTTCTCTTTTTCTGTCTACAGAATCCACATTATCTCCAAACACTCGGGTGAATAATGCAGTGTTGGTGGTGGGGCCCATTAAGCCCAGCCGACCAGAGGTCTCGGCTTCTCAATTTGTCTCCACTGAGGGTCTTCCCCCGGTCACCTACGTGTGTGTTCTTTTCCTCACACACATTCTCACTTTACCGATGACACATGCATGACGAGTAGAATGAGAGAAAGGATGTTGTGTGAATGTCATGCCTTCTAAACCTTCTTTCCTATTGGACGTGAACCATGAACAACTGTGTAAGTATGTCTGTTTGGTTGTCATGAGTAGTGTGACTGGCAACATAGGTTTTATTTTATTTATACAAGCATGTCGCCAAAGACAAGCAAGCCAACATGAAAATAACATGTTACTTTATCATCCAGTATGGGCATACATGTACCGACATGCAATATCTATGACATTAGATTAGGCTATGTCAGTCATCGAGCAGATGGTGATCTGCTTGTTTCGTGTTCCCTGTGCACATTCAGGTAATGCCACATGTAGAAACAGTGTAGGGACATTCCATTGTCTCTGCAATACTGGCTTCACAGGAACTGGACACACTGGTGGGTGTGAGAATGTCAATGAATGTGTGCATGGCCTGACTGCTAAAACAAGAACTATGAATCCTGATGCCACCGTGGCTCGTATTCCCTGTACGGCTAGCAACATGCAGTGTGCAGACACGGTTGCAAGCTATCGATGTGACTGCTTGCCCGATTACTACATGCAGCATGACGGCCAGTGCAGACCCAGTAAGTCGAAATATGTTGACTCTGCGTAAGATTCTACGTCACACTGGCTGCATGCATACACTGTCCCTCCAGGAAATCGCGATTCCACGGATGCAACAAATTTCGCGATTTCCCCGCGTTTTTTGCTGTTTTCTGCACTGCACTTTTTCTGCACTTTTCACGCAGTCCTTTCCATGATCCTGTAGGTTATTTGCATAGTACGACTCGGACTGCTCCCGAGTAGATATACGATGCGACAAATTTCGTTATTTGGCCCAAATCCGCAATTTTCTGTAAATAATTTCGCGAGTTCCTGGCAAGTTCTGCATCATTCCGCACTTTTCGTCGCATTTTTTGTTGTTTTCTGCCGCAATTTCTTGCGCAAGTTTTCGAGAGTTTTTTCCGCAAATTCCCGCAGGGACAGCATACAGTTCAAGCATGGCTATGCCACTCAGCCTGAGAACAGAACTGTTTTATTGATCTCTTGCAATGTGGACTCATCCGCTCAGCACACAGGAATGAGGCACAGAATGGTAGATGCAGCCATGGAGATAACAGTTCTCAGAATTTCTTCATTGTCTTTGTGTACGGTGAGCAGTGGTGAAACTAGCAAGTTAGCTAGGTATTGGTGGAGAATATCATGATTGTTTCCCTGCTCAGTTTAGATAATGACAACCCAAATGTTATGTAAACTGTGAGTTAGTGCTGAGTCGGGTAGCATTTTCTTCGGGTATCGGGTCCGGGTAGTTTTCCACGGGTAGCACGGGTACCCGATCGGGTAATGTTCCCTTGGTAAGACCACAATGCACATCGGCCCCTTCCCTTACACACTGGATAGACATGCGTGAATTACTTGTACACGTGCACTGTAGACCTCTCTCTCTCTACTCTTTCTACATGTCATCTGCGACTTCGGGTTTTCGGGTACGACTCGGTACCTGTCTACCCGAGGTCCTCGCGTGCTCGCGGTGTGCGTGTGTGTGTATGTGTGTGTATGTGTGTATGCATATGTGTCTCTAAGTGTGTGTGTGTGTGTGTATGTGTGTGTGTATTTGTGTGTGTGTGTACGTATGTGTGTGTGTACCCTGTATTCGTCATAGTTAGTGAGCTGTTCACACCATGGAGTCCACCACAGCCCGGAACACCCACATCATTAACATGGCCCATTCGAAAGTTTGATTACCAACAAGATCTGTGAGTCGATGGATATGTCTACTCACGATATGTTGAATGTGCCCTTGCCTTGCCTACTTCCTTGTTATCAAACCCATGAATACTGGGGTGGAGGGGGGGGGGGTAGCCCTTGCCTTGCCTACTTCCTTGTTATCAAACCCATGAATACTGGGGTGGAGAGGGGGGTAGCCCTTGCCTTGCCTACTTCCTTGTTATCAAACCCATGAATACTGGGGTGGAGGGGGGGGGGGTAGCCCTTGCCTTGCCTGCTTCCTTTTTATCAAACCCATGAATACTGGGGTGGAGGGGGGGGGGTAGCCCTTGCCTTGCCTGCTTCCTTTTTATCAAACCCATGAATACTGGGGGTGGGGGGGGGGGGGTAGCCCTTGCCTTGCCTACTTCCTTGTTATCAAACCCATGAATACTGGGATGAGGGGGGGGGGGGGGTAGCCCTTTGCAGATACTGTCTACGTAAGAGTTATCAGAAAATGTTACTTTGCTGGGATATTCCATGGATGCTTGGTATAAGGATAAAGACACTGCCTTTCAGAAGAATCTGTCCTTTATCGAACATTGTAAGCCAAGGGCAAGTGGGGCAGGAGGGAGGGGGGGGGGGGAATTGAAGTCAGGGGTGGGCAAGAAATTTACTAAGACGAGCAAGAGCATGTTCTAGTGTAACAGATAAAGCGACTCCAATGCTATGTTACAGTTTGAATACACTCACAATGTCAGCATGTAGAGGAGACGGCTCGATACCGGGACGTTTTGACAGCCAAATTTGTATTGACCCAAACCGATTATCAGCGTTGATTTTTCACTCGAAATATGTTTGTGGAAGGAAACTGGCATGTTGAAGTTTGCTCTGGGGCCAGAGTCAATCGAACTGAGCCACTCCTTTGTGTTGACCCATTGCCTCCAAGTTGCCCAATTTTTCGCTTCAAAAAAGTTCAAATCAGAGGCCAAACCGGACACGTTTTAGAGTGCACGTCAAATTCACTCTGGGTCTGAAATTAGGTAATTGCTATCGCTCCACGACGGCCAGTACAGAGTAACAATAAGCCTTGTGTGTGCTTCCATTAGTTTTGATTGGTATGCGGTGCTTTATTGGCGAGAGGCGAGCCGCTGTTTACCTGCGACAAGAAGTTGATTTTTCGAAAGTCGTAAAACTCAAGTCGCAGTGCGAAGCAACACGTCAAAAACTCGCCTGCTTGATATGGCGCTTCTGGTTATCGCAGAGCCATGAAATTTTGGCTCGGAGTATAACACATCGTAGTCTCACTGTGACATATGTTTTCTAATCAAAATACCAAGAGAGAAAGTGAATATTGAGTCCGTTCCGGTTTGCAACCGGTGTCCTATTTGAAACCGTCCCCTCTACTGCAGCTGCTACTGTTTAACAATGGTAGAAAATTATAACAAGAGAAGATCTATTTTCCAGAGTGAAGTAGGACAAGTTTATGACTTGATAGTCTTCTTCCTGAGTTGACAACCCCCCACTACACCCCATCTCCTGGGTGGTTGGTCCATCTTTGTTGATGATCTGCTTGCTACTGCAGCCAGTACACAGTCATTGGCATCAACCTTGGAGCAGCTACCTTGAGCAGCTCAACTAGCAGAGTGTTTCATGTTTCACCCGACATTCTATACAACTTGACCGGACCTAATGTCTACTCTTACGCTGAAGCACTGGAGACAAGGCAGCCAGGCTCAACGCCGAGGGCATACGTTGTGGCGGAGTTCCACTCATCCTTGTTTGGACACAGGGCCGTATTGCCCGTGACGGTCGGTGATGGGACGAGACTCGGGCAGTGGGAGAATGGTCCACTCCCGCCCAGACACACCTTCACACTATGGTATCAGGCAGCAGCGCAGGCCAGTGAGGATGCTGGTCAATACTCCCAGGTGAGGAATTTGTGCATGCAACAGCATTGCGAGCCATGTTTTGTTAAAAAGCAATTCTGGACGGACAACTTTGGACTCACATTTCGTCATGCTGTACAAAGCTCGGTATACAATAAACAAGTTCACGGAAAAGAAACCCGGATTAAAATATTATTTTGGGCCCTTAATAGAAAATTTATTCCATCTTTTTTAATTGAAGGATGGCGATAAACTTGTGTCGCCTCGCCGCCTGTTCAAATAATTTTTTATTCGATTTTTATGTGTGCAGATGAGAGTAGTGGCGACATCACCATACCTACCTATTCAAGAAACGAGAGGTATACGTTTGCAGTGTGTGCTAGAGTGGGTGTGTTACAATGTGTGTTACAATGTGTGTTACAAAGTGTGTTACTATGATCGTGTTGCAGCACACTGTGTACCTGTCTGACCACCACCACCACCCCAGCATGTTGACATACAGTCTGGTTACAAATCACCATGACAACCATCAGTGGCTGTTACAACCTGTAAGAACCCATTCTACTATACAGAAGGAATGATCCAAAAGTTACAAACCCAAAAGTAAAGTAGAGATAGCCGGATTCGTGGCCGCATCACCCCACGTGTTCAGGAACACATCGAGTAAAGATGTTCACATCGGCGGGCCACCACTTCGCCCATTATATCCCAGTGTCGAATGCAGACCTCACAAGTGAATGATCCAAAACAACAAGAATCACAATCATTTTCTGTAAAAGCCGGTACTTGCCACCAGCTAAGGACCCTTCGTTATGCTGGTTCATCATCATGATCATCTTACTGAGCCCCGCTGACGTCATCATCATGATCATCTTGCTGTGCCCTGCTGACGTCATCAGTCACATGAGCAGTCATGACTGATGCGTGACAAGAAACAGTCGGTCACGCAATGATCGGCCACACACACATGCGCGTGCACGCACACACGCAGACACACGCACACACAGATAGGCTTTCCCCAAATCGGCCGGTCGAAAATTTCGCCGAAAACGAGACTTTTCGAAAAATTGCTAAGCCTTTCGCCGATTTTGGAGGGTTCCTTTGAGAATTGCCGAAAATCTACAAATGTTGTTGCAAAGTGCGCTTACCATCAGTACGAACTAATGATGTTGCTGCAAGCATGACAGGTCGAGCTATCTACTTCACTACTTGTTCTGTTAGGATTTTGAGGTCGTGTGATTCGTGTCATTTGACCTCCTCTCAAACAAACATTAGCCATTAGGAAGACCGTCACTAGTAAAATCCCCAAATCGGGGCGCGAAAAAGTCACCGAAAACGAGACTTATCGAAAAATCGCTAAGCTTTTCACCGATTTTGGAGGGTTTCTTTGAGAATCGCCGAAAATCTACCAAATCTTCCAATATCTCACCAATCTTGAAGCCGATAGGCCAACAATTCTATTTGCCGATTTCCCAATATATTCCAATTTTGCCGAACAGGCGAAAAAAACGGGCCGATTTGGGGAAAGCCTACACACACACACACACACACACACACACACACACACACACACACACACACACACACACACACACACACACACACACACACACACACACACACACATACACACACACACATACACATACAAACAACACATACATGCACAAAAGATACGAAATTAAAGCGCTGTGGCCCGTGGCTAGAACCAGACACCACTATTCGTTCCATATTCTGCGTAGCTTAGGTAATGATAATTTTTTTTACCCGACATGTATCACCTCTGTCCAGGTGCTGGTAATGGGCATACAACAGTGTCGGTCACGCTAATAGCTGCAGCGGCTGGAGGACTGGCTTTCGTAATGTTCCTATCCCTCTGCCTAGTTGCTCTGATACGGAGACAACGGCGCCTGGCTGGCAAAGGAAGAATGCGCCAGCCTTCCAGGAACAAGATACTTGGCTCAAGTGCCTCTGAAGACATTAAGATACGAGACACGTCAATTTGAATCGCATATTTAGGTGTTCTTGTTTTCTATCCTTCATACAAATGATGCTTGATTTTCTGTCCCTGGTCTATAGTATAATGGAAGGCATATTGAGCACATGCACAGGGCATACCCATGCAGTGTGGTGTGAACATTACTGTACTAAACTATCTGATTACATGTATTGGCAACTTGCATCTTTCCATCTCAATAGCTCATCCAAAATGCAAGATAATCCCAGCAAATTGGAAGACCTGGCAGGTATGACATCATCATAATATTTACCCTGGTCACCAAGAGCATGTTCTTATTTACACACAGACACTAGCTGTACGCTGCTCAGTTTACGCGCTACGTCTTCATGACCCCTACGCGTAACCTTGAGCAATTAGTACACAATCATGGTTTGCCTTACTAACACACAGGTCAGTTCAGAGTCACCGACTATCAGCTAAACCAAACTCCTAGCGTAGTTATTGTCTTCCTGATCGCATAGTCCTCTTCATTTCACGACTGATAAACTCGGCATGTTCTACGTGAACCAGAATTGCAAATTATGGACAATTGCGAATTGCAAAAATAATAATAATTATTCTTGCCTCGTTCCATCACATCAGCTATGTCATAACACTGACAGCCGGCAATTCATGTACCACTTTCCAACCATGTGCCCATTTTGAGCAGCTCATGAGCAACTCGTGCCAAACATAAAGTGGTACCAGTGTACACGTAGTTCTAGTCCTTGAGCATGCACTGATTATGCTCACACTAAGTCAGACCAGTAAAATATACTGGTGATTGGTGGGGTCAAATAAAATCCAGCCCCATGACTATCACTGCACATTCCACGGTTCAAAGTCACTCTTAGGCAGTCCCTGGACTATAATGTTCTCCAAGCCGGATTTTACTTGCGACCACTGACAGTCTGTGCAACAAGTATAATAATTATGATATTATCACGAGAAATCTTGACACCGCGCAGTGGTTCCATTGCATGCAATTAAAGTCATACCAGATGTGTTCATCCCACACACACAACACACTAATAAATGTCACGGAGTCGCGCGATTTGCCAGTCAGACAGAGTTCTCCGTATCCGTGGGAACGCCACCACCTCAAGGATCAAGGTGCAGATGCAGCTCTCCTTAATCAGCGGAAGGTGAGTAGATCCACACATGCTACATAATATTATTATTATAACTAAAATACGGTGTAGAGTGAAGCCGAAGTAACTCATGCAAACAGTTGCGGAATGTTAACAGAAATACATTTCATGGTTCAAGAAAGGGCTTATCAAGAAGTGGAAATCAAGGAGCAAGAGAATGGGCGGATTTGCTGTCCAAAGTGTAAGCGAATAATCAATGCTTGATCTGACTAGGTGCACACCTTAGACAACTGATGACCGTAGTAGCCTGTTGTGATACAACTATACGACTGTGATCTATGTTTTACCTTGGTCTCCAGTACCAATTTAATATCACACTACACGACACTGCTAGGGAATGTGCAGGCATTGAATACAAACAGATCACTCGCAATCAGGCTCAAAGAAATACGAAAGAGAGCCAGCCAAGATGCGCTGATACTTAAATTCCGTCAAACTTCTTTTCCAGAATTGAAGTATCATGATCTCAATAAATAACTTTCAAGAATTGGACACCATTCGCAGCAAATACGGAATTGAGATAACATTTTCCGTTCCAACATGAAACATGGATCCACAACAACAAACAGGAAGATTGACCTGTAAAGATGTGTGGCTGGTGATGGTGCTGATGCTGCTGCTGATAACTGTGGCTAGGTTTTCTGAATACTAGCATTGAGCATGGTGCGGTAGATGTCCATGGCTGCCAGGCCACAGCACAGGATGATAGGGCCGATGACTGCGCCTTCCAGTCCAAATATGTACATACCCCCGGCCACAGCCAAGCCGGTCAGGTATGGATGTCCACCACTGCACACATACACATACACAGATACAACACAGACACACACACACACACACGTACACACACACACACACACACACAACACACAACACGATGAGAGCCAATCAGTGATCTATTAGCTAAAACGACAGCAGGATGCAAGCAAAGTCAACCTAGTCGTGCATGCACACGGCAAGCTAGCTGTCCTAGCCAAGTAGAAGACGCTCAGGTTCTTCGGTTCTAGACCCCGTTTGGTTAGAGCAGCTTGTTTGCCATACACACGCACAACCATTGTTTGCTTGGTCTGCATACTTACTCCAGGTACTGCATGTAGGCGCACTAACGTTAGCCATTTCTTGAAAACCAGGGCTGGGGAATGCTCCTATACCGTCTCACCCATGTGTACCCAACTCACACTGAAGAACAGCATGCAGTGAAAATGGGTGAGAGTAAGACCTCTGCCATTCTGAAGAGGTGTTTGACTTTACAGCCCTGTAAACCATAGTATGGTGTACTGTAGCAACGAGTACACTTGCCACATTTTTTACTCATATCACACATACAGTGACTGTGGATGGTAGCAGTACGACTATGGATGGTAGCAGTACGACTATGGATGGTAGCAGTACGACTATGGATGGTAGCAGTACGACTATGGATGGTAGCAGTACGACTATGGATGGTCGGCCCAAAGGGGATACGGGTCCGCGGTAAGTGTTATGAAACATCGGCCTGCAAATGCTCAAATTTTGCACTCCTTTCTCAGCCAATAGTGAGATCAAAACCGGACTGGCAGGACAACACGCTATGACACTGCAGTCCACAGATCATACAGTGCATGTGCCATGTCTGCCAGTAGACACACGCTCCCAAAACAGTATCAATCTATTATAAATCCAGTGCATATTGTAAAAGGCCCATACAGCACGTACCCTTTGATCTCAGAGTATATGGCCACGTCGACAACATTGTAGCAGAGAAAGTGCAGGCCGAACAGCAGTGATGCTTTGATCCAGGACTGTTGCGCAACAGCCAGGTAGAGTGATGCGGGCAGTGCTACCCAGTAGCTGCCTAGTAGAGGTATGGCGGCAAACAAAGCTGAGATTACTGCAAGTGTAAGTAAGACAACATGAACAGCACAGAACACAGAACACAGAACAGTTGTATTGTGATGCTAGAGTCAAGCTGGAGGAAATGGCTGAGAGTGGATCCTGTCGTGTAACCTCAGCCTCCAATACACATGTGTGTGTACATGTAGTGCAGAACAACATTGCATGATATCTACATATACCTGCACCTGAACACTTCAGAGACCATGATTATTTCAATGAATGCACTGCATATGTGAACCCAGGTATTTACTGGAGAAATGGACATAGGGAAGGGGGAAGGGGAAGGGGAGGGGAGGGGGAAAGGGAAGGGGAGGGGGAAGGGGGGGGAGAGGGGAGGAGGGGGGGGGGGGTGCTGATTCAATACACCTGTAGTGGGTCTGTACTACAGTCTGAACAAGGTAATATCTAACAATTGGGCCACCGTGTTTCACATGTACGTACATGTAGGTAGGACACAAACAACTTCCCAGCTCTATCCCCTACTCAAACTCACCTCCATGCAATCCCCCTAGACACAAACAACTTCCCAGCTCTATCGCCTACTCAAACTCACCTCCATGCAATCCCCCTAGACACAAACAACTTCCCAGCTCTATCGCCTACTCAAACTCACCTCCATGCAATCCCCCTAGACACAAACAACTTACCAGCTCTATCCCCCACTCAAACTCACCTCCATGCGATCCCCCTAGACACAAACAACTTCCCAGCTCTATCCCCTACTCAAACTCACCTCCATGCAATCCCCCTAGACACAAACAACTTCCCAGCTCTATCCCCTACTCAAACTCACCTCCATGCAATCCCCCTAGACACAAACAACTTCCCAGCTCTATCCCCTACTCAAACTCACCTCCATGCAATCCCCCTAGGCACAAACAACTTCCCAGCTCTATCCCCTACTCAAACTCGCCTCCATGCAATCCCCCTAGACACAAACAACTTCACAGCTCTATCCCTTACTCAAACTCACCTCCATGCAATCCCCCTAGACACAAACAACTTCCCAGCTCTATCCCCCACTCAAACTCACCTCCATGCGATCCCCCTAGACACAAACAACTTCCCAGCTCTATCCCCTACTCAAACTCACCTCCATGCAATCCCCCTAGACACAAACAACTTCCCAGCTCTATCCCCTACTCAAACTCACCTCCATGCAATCCCCCTAGACACAAACAACTTCCCAGCTCTATCCCCTACTCAAACTCACCTCCATGCAATCCCCCTAGGCACAAACAACTTCCCAGCTCTATCCCCTACTCAAACTCACCTCCATGCAATCCCCCTAGACACAAACAACTTCCCAGCTCTATCCCCTACTCAAACTCACCTCCATGCAATCCCCCTAGACACAAACAACTTTCCAGCTCTATCCCCTACTCAAACTCACCTCCATGCAATCCCCCTAGACACACACACTCAGATATAGTTATGGTACAGAAATCCCTTCCCTTCCTTCCTTTCCCTTCCCTTCCCCACCACACACACACACACAGATGCGACAGACGTGTGATCTGCAACACACGCACGTCTGCCTCCTCCCCGCCCCCTCCCACTCCTCCACTTCCACGAGCATCCACCACATACGCACACAAGTATGCACGCAGATGTAAACACAGACACGGACACAGACACCCATGCTTGCCCCCCCCCTCCCAAACAAACAGAATCTCCCCCCCCCCCCATACACACACACACACATTGAGATTGGTATTGATCTACAACGCATGGGGGAAAGGAGTGGCTTACCTGCCGGGGTAAAGACCACTTCAAATCCAAACAGAGTATGTGTGAAGAATGTAAACAGTCCGTAGAATGTTATCATCTTTAGAGATGCACCAAATACTCCCGTGAACAAACACAGGACCCAAGAGTTCACATACACACACGCGATTAGAAGACACACGCATGCACACATGCAGGAAGGCACGCCCACACACGCATGCGCAAACACACACACACACACACACACACACACACACACACACACACACACACACACACACTACTACTACTACTATTGACAGCTGCCAGAAATGGCCACGCCGCTCCCCAAAGGGACACACACACACACAGGGACACACACACACACCTCAGACCTCAGACCTCAGACATGCCCATCGCGGAAGCGATGATAGCGAACAGCTATGTTAGACATGGCAACTTGTGCTGGGATTACACCATTCAACAGCTTGCAAGGCTGATGAATTGACCGCCACTATTTTTAGCCTGGTATCCACCACACAGCTGTTTGAAGTGACTTTTTCTGGCCAGTGAATCCCTATTTTTCATTTTTCCATTTTTTTTCTTTCTTTTTTTCTACACACACACACACACACACACACACACACACACACACACACATACATACACACACACACACACACACACATACATACACACACACACACACACAGCAAAACTGTATTCAGCACATATCCCCATTGTAAGACGGACAGTAACACTACATACCTTCAAAGATTGTGCATTTCTATCTAGTGCTGGGGTCGCAGAGTTTCACATCAAATGAAACTAGGGTATGAGCTTGTACACTGGCAAACAGTGCAAAGTCATCACCAAAGAGTCATACGCAAAGCAGGCCTGCATAAAAAAACTGTAGGTATTTTGCAAGCAGTGTGTATGTGTTGTCAGATGATGTGAAGTACTTCTATTGCAGACCCCATAGACTGGAGTAGTGCACACTCTAGAGGGGGTAATGTACTCTTGATGACAGCCAGGGTACGTCGTGTTACTAGAATGTCTGTACTAGATAGAGAGAGAGAGAGAGAGAGAGAGAGAGAGAGAGAGAGAGAGAGAGAGAGAGAGAGAGAGAGAGAGAGAGAGAGAGAGAGAGAGAGAGAGAGAGAGAGAGAGAGAGAGAGAGAGAGAGAGAGAGAGAAAGTTACATTTATAAAGACAGGTAAGTCTAACAAATGAGGACTGAGACCTCTACAACAGGGTTTTTACGCCTGAAAGCAGGTGCATGATTTAACAAGCAGGTTGTCAGTCTAGATTTTATGCGCAGATGGAGAAAAAGCGCAGAATTTTTGTAATGAGATGAAAAGCAGAAATAATAAGAAATAATAAGAAAAGATGAAATGAAAGCCTGCTCACAACCCCGCCCAGCCTTGCGAACTGGGTATGGTGGATTAAGAACCCGGTTCAACGCTCGAGCAAGCGCTCTCCACTCAAGGTGTTCACAGCAACTGATAGGAACTCATATGGGGAAATTATAGAAAAGAAATAATAAGAAAAAGTGAATAAATTTCAACGCACCTCAATAAACGGAGCCCCACATACAGTACCTCAGAAAAGTGGATCTTCCGACCAGTGTTTTTGTTGACGCCGCAACCAGATGATGTAGCTGCTTCGCAGAGACGTCTTACTGCACAAATTACAAATAAATTTTATTCTTCGATTAGAAAATCCAAGCGCTTTCAGAGCCCTCCGAAGAGAGTCCGGGATGAAACCACGCACACCTACCTCAACCGAAAAAGAAACGACCTGCCACCCGTTTGCTCGGCATTGATCGGCCAGATCCGCATACCGCCTGTCCTTCCGCGAGTTACTGACACTGAATCTGTCCTCAGCACAAACTGTCAACTCCATCCAGAATACAATCCTACGACTCGTAGAGTACAGAACTATATCTGGTCTTAGGGTGGTAAGTGCAACACAGCTAGGGAAAGAAATCTTTGCACTAACTGAGTCGACAAGAAGTTTCCAGTCTGAGGCCGCTGACAGGAGATCAGTCGTAACCAACTTTCGTCTGGGCTGAACGCGAACTGGCTTCTCTCCCGCCTTGCAAAACGAGATGAAGTCAAGCTCATTTGAATTTTCGGTTTGTACGGTGTTTGCAGCAGTGCGGATTCGAATCTCCTCACGCATGTTCCTGACGATGACCCCGAGTACGTTGTCGTGCCTCCAGGTGTAACGTCCCTGGTCCAGCGCTACGCGACAAGCGCCAAGCACGTGGCGCGTAGTACAGGCCCAGGTACGGCACAAACTACAGTACGGATCCACTACGGTGTTTCCCCAACGGCGTAGGTTCGTCGGAGAAGGTAGCACGTCGAGGGTTGATGCGAGAAGAAATTTCAAATCCTTACCAGTACCACCGTACAAAAGGGATTTCCACGAGAGGTCCTGCCACATCACCGATGTCCACTCCAACCACTTGCCTTGCACCTGAAGAGTCTTCAGCCTCAAAATCTGCTCCTGCGCGTTGATCTCCTCAAATGTTTGAAGGAGATCCTTCCTCGGGGGTTTGGAATGCTGCTTCGGAGCACGAGCACCCAACCCTGCACGATGACTTGAAGATGACGGTGGACGGAGAGTCCCTGAACCTACTGATGCCTCTGCACACTCCAGCTCTATTGTCGCCGCATATCGCTTTGTCAGCTTCGCATCCTTACTCCGACGCAGAGTGTACAGCGCCCTCATGCGCGCGTCCCCACTCGAGAGAGAGAGAGAGAGAGAGAGAGAGAGAGAGAGAGAGAGAGAGAGAGAGAGAGAGAGAGAGAGAGAGAGAGAGAGAGAGAGAGAGAGAGAGAGAGAGAGAGAGAGAGAGAGAGAGAGAGAGAGAGAGAGGGGGGGAGAGAGAGAGAGAGAGAGAGAGAGAGAGAGAGAGAGAGACAGAGAGAGAGACAGAGAGAGAGAGAGAGAGAGAGAGAGAGAGAGAGAGAGAAAGAGAGAGAGAGAGAGAGAGAGAGAGAGAGAGAGAGAGAGAGGGAGGGAGGGAGGGAGGGGGGAGGAGGGAGGGAGGGAGGGAGGGGGGAGGGAGGGAGGTAGGGAGGGAGGGAGGGAGGGAGGAGGGAGACCCCCACCGTAACCACTACAGTATAGCAAATTTGCAGAAGTGAACGGTGACTTCGTGCAACCGATAACGGCAAAGGCGTATACGCTGTCACAACCGGAAAGCCATTGTACAGCAACACTCGTTCTCACGCAGACAATCCCAGAGGCTATTAGACTGAGCATGGAAATGGGTCCTCTATGTCAAACCACCACTTGCGCTGCCATTCAATCAAAAAGGTATTTTCCTACGCAATGTATGGGTCGTAAGCGTGAGTCGCAAGCATATCCCACAGCAGTGCAGGCAGCTGGCACATACCAAGGCTAAGTTCACATTGCAAAAGAGTCTATGCTACTATCGTGTATCGACTGAGCAGTTAGTTTATCAGCACATGTACACATGACATAGTGTAAACAATGTGTGGAGAATGTTTTCCTGCAGTACTACGCTACAACACATAGATTACTTACTGAACTGCATTGGATACTGAGGTAACTGCTTGTGACTTTGCACCAGCCTCCGGAGGCATTAGACTAGTCAGCCATGTCAGTGGTATGTACTGACGGTCAGATGCAGCCAGCAAATACATCAGTGAAGTCAGGAATATCACCTGCAATAGTGCACAGTACACACACACACACAAACACACTTGTACTTGTACTTGTTGCTCACTACCAAAACTGGTCACGTGAGTCCCCCGGGAGAGGGGAGAGAGACTCAAAAGGAATCTTGGAAAGATGACTCAATTGGTTATTGAACCGCCCAACGACCGACACCCCCTGAAATCCCCAAAACTCTGGGTGGACTTGAAAATGACCCCACTTATGGGCTCACCACACCTCAGTAAGTGGGTGAGGACAAGGTGCAGAAAAAGGATTGACGGCATCAGGGTATCCGTCCCGGGATCCAACTGCAGTTACCCCTGCCCCCAGTGAAGGTAATACTTGCTACTAGTGTGAGTGGCTAAATCAGAGTGGATCTGATAAAAGCTTCACTAGCACCATTGATTACAGAAGAGTTAATCTAGCCAGAAGCAGTCCATGGTTGACAGGTATGTATACTTCAAATTGAAAGTATATGACCCCTGGAACCAACAAAGGTGGCAGGTACAACATTACACCTTCAAGCAGCCGAGCCTGTTGGCAACAGACCCAACGCAATCAGGCATAAGTGTACCTACCAACCGAACTAGCTGGCACACACACACACACACACACACACACGCACGCACGCACGCACGCACGCACACACACACCAACAACAACAACAACGAGCCGTAAAATCTTTTAATATTCTCTTTAGGCTCAAATCAACTCTACACACTAAATCACTCTCTCTCATTTACAAAACAAATATCCTGCCTATAATTGAATATGCATGCATTACTGTCACCCCGCTCTCAATCGCAGCCCTTGACCGTCTTGAGCGAATCCAGCGCAAGGCAGCCAGAATCTGCCTCCGTCTCCCCCTCTACACTCCTCTGAATCATTCAACACTTCTCCATCGGCTCAAATGGCCGACAATGTTCTCTCGCCGCAAAGTGAAGCTCACCCTTCTTGCTCACTCCATAAATACCAATATGCCCCACAACACATACGCTTGCTCAACACCCCCGCTCAAGTTACGGCCCAGTACAGCCTTCGACACGCACGCACTTGGCACCTCCCACCCTCCAGAACCGATCGCTGTAAAGACTCCCCACTGTACAAGTCCCTAGAATACTACAATGCCCTCCCTGCTAGCATTCGTGACGTCTCCTCCCGACCTGCTTTCAAACAAGAAATCTGCTCACTGCTAATTAACTCAATCTGCTCCTGCAGCGCTCACCCTCTCCCATACTTGTAAAATTCAAAGTGATGTAAATCACTTTCCAACTGCACAACCCACAATCCCACCTTCTCATAAATTTATCTCTTATTGGCGATGGTGCCATCGTGAGAATAAAGAATTCAAACAACAATATGCGCATGTATATGAGCATATACAGAGACAGACAGAGCAACACACAGAGGCGCAGACACACGCACTTGCACTCGTACTTGCTCACTAACAGAAACTGGTCATGAGGGTATTGTCGAGCACATGAATCAGGTCATGTGACCTATGTGTGTGTGTGTGTGTGTGTGTCCCCTACGAAGCATGCACCGTTTTCTTACAGGACTTCTTCGCTAGAATGCCCATTCTGCAATTGAAGGTGGAATGTATAATACTGATTCGCACAAAGATGTATACACGTGATCTCTTTCCAAGATTTCCTGAAAGTGATTGAGAGTTTTTCCATTTACAGCCATGTAAATGAGCAATTGAAGATAGTCTTTACAAAAAAAAGACAACCTTCAATTGCTCATTTACATGGCTGTGATTGGCTCACTGGGCAGTCGAGATCAAAACCAGGTTCCAGAACGTTTAATCGAACACAGCTGCACTCACAACATTCACAGCAAGGTTTAACAGAGCTGTGCTGCTGTCCAGCAAGACGGAGAGTATTGCCGTCACCACGCCCATCAGTAGTTTAGCGTTGCCCTTGACAACCACCCACGCCGAGTCAAGTAGCTGCATGTAAGTATAACCAAGAGAAAGAGCAGAGACGTGACAACGAAGAAATTCCTATTGCTTTTCATAGTCTACCGTGATGTCGTGTATAAAAGCCGAGCTTATTCCTGTAATTTTAGCCAATGTCAGTGCTAGACTTCTATTCAAATCAGGTATTTCTATTCAAATCAGGTATTTCTATTCAAATCAGGTATTTCTACTCAAATCAGGTATTTCTATTCAAATCAGGTATTTCTATTCAAATCAGGTATTTCTGTTCAAATCAGGTATTTCTATTCAAACCAGGTATTTCTATTCAAATTAGGTATTTCTATTCAAATCAGGTATTTCTATTCAAATCAGGTATTTCTATTCAAATCAGGTATTTCTATTCAAATCAGGTATTTCTATTCAAATCAGGTATTTCTATTCAAATCAGGTATTTCTATTTAAATCAGGTATTTCTATTCAAATCAGGTATTTCTATTCAAATCAGGTATTTCTATTCAAATCAGGTATTTCTATTGAAATCAGGTATTTCTATTCAAATCAGGTATTTCTATTCAAATCAGGTATTTCTATTCAAATCAGGTATTTCTATTCAAATCAGGTATTTCTATTCAAACCAGGTATTTCTATTCAAATCAGGTATTTCTATTCAAATCAGGTATTTCTATTCAAATCAGGTATTTCTATTCAAATCAGGTATTTCTATTCAAATCAGGTATTTCTATTGAAATCAGGTATTTCTATTCAAATCAGGTATTTCTATTGAAATCAGGTATTTCTATTCAAATCAGGTATTTCTATTCAAATCAGGTATTTCTATTCAAATCAGGTATTTCTATTCAAATCAGGTATTTCTATTCAAATCAGGTATTTCTATTCAAATCAGGTATTTCTATTCAAATCAGGTATTTCTATTCAAATCAGGTATTTCTATTCAAATCAGGTATTTCTATTGAAATCAGGTATTTCTACTCAAATCAGGTATTTCTATTCAAATCAGGTATTTCTATTGAAATCAGGTATTTCTATTCAAATCAGGTATTTCTATTCAAATCAGGTATTTCTATTCAAATCAGGTATTTCTACTCAAATCAGGTATTTCTATTCAAATCAGGTATTTCTATTCAAATCAGGTATTTCTATTCAAATCAGGTATTTCTACTCAAATCAGGTATTTCTATTCAAATCAGGTATTTCTATTCAAATCAGGTATTTCTATTCAAATCAGGTATTTCTATTCAAATCAGGTATTTCTATTCAAATCAGGTATTTCTATTCAAATCAGGTATTTCTATTTAAATCAGGTATTTCTATTCAAATCAGGTATTTCTATTCAAATCAGGTATTTCTATTCAAATCAGGTATTTCTATTCAAATCAGGTATTTCTATTCAAATCAGGTATTTCTATTCAAATCAGGTATTTCTATTCAAATCAGGTATTTCTATTCAAATCAGGTATTTCTATTCAAATCAGGTATTTCTATTCAAATCAGGTATTTCTATTCAAATCAGGTATTTCTATGTATGTGAACACTACTCTGAGTTTCAACCATCATTATAACCTTTGTGTCCACTCACTGCTTACAGGTATGACAACACTAAAGCTAACTGGTAGGCTTATAGGCCGACGGTGCATCTTAAAAACTATACTCTTGCTGTTGTTGTTGTATTTCGAGTCGAAGAACAAAAGCTGAATACAGGCTTCTATCCTTCCAGGCCCGGAGCCAGCTCCTGAGGGGTGCTACGCGCCCAGGCCGACTGCAGGGCCGATCATTTACCCAGGCCCGGCTTTTATTTACGGGAGGATGAATCTCTAGCACTATGCTGCATTGCACCTGGCTGTTCCAGTTACACTATGACATGCCGATATTGACAGATACATGTCCATTGCATGTAGTTAGCAGAGTAGTTCTGACTGGGCACAGAGAACAGTTTAGGAGAGAGAGAGAGAGAGACTCCACAACGAGCAGGCGCGTAGCCGCAATGGGTCAGGGCGCACGTGCCCCCCCCCCCCCGCACTAAAAATGTTGGACCTAGGTTCAGCAAGCACATAATTACTATGAATAACATGTACCAACCATCATACACATATGCAGTCATGCAACCTTCCCCCCCCCCCCCCCCAAACCCCACCCCTAGAATGGAGACCAGCCCCTTGACGAGGATAGTTGTTCAGTGCTTTCCACATAATTGATCATACACGGACAATCCATGAAGCTGGAATTGGCAAACACTGGTCCGGCCATGGCCGCACCAGCCATACCAGTGACACCAGCCATACCAGTAACACCAGCCATACCAGTGACACCAGTGACACCAGCCATACCAGTGACACCAGCCATACCAGTGACACTAGCCATACCAGTAACACCAGCCATACCAGTGACACCAGCCATACCAGTGACACCAGCCATACCAGTAACACCAGCCATACCTTCCAAAACGAAAAAATAAAATAAAAAATAAAACTGATCACTTACCGTATGCAATGTGCCCATATTGCTACTGACGGTAGTAAATACTGATGTCATGTTGATCTGAGAAGACACTTCACTGGCACTCAGTCCACTCACATTGCTACACACAACCACACTCTACAACAATACAGCACATGCACACACACACACACACACACACACACACACACACACACACACACACACACACACACACATACACGCACACACACACACATACACACACACACACACACACACAACACACCCAAACAGAAACACAAACCAGAAGTTAAACAGATACAGAAGTAACCCAGGCCCAGGGAACATTACACACAATCCAATCTAAGATCAAGTTTGAGTAAGTCCTTTCTAGGCATTATGCCTAGGCCACGGTATTGGAGCCAGCTAGGCTTCCCTGGCTTTAGGAGCTGCATCTGTGCCTTGATCCACAGAGGGTGGTGGTGTTCCTACGGATGCGGATAACTTGTCCTCCAGCCTAGTCTCACATGAACAGTGTATTTATAGGATTACAGCAACATGCACTGCAAGGAGAAACATCAACACTTTAAAATATGTTTTGAAAAGCTATGTTGATTTGTCAAATAACAACCTCTCAATTACTTGCTTCTCAATCAAATACTCAGTCAAAGAGCTGAGAACAAAATATCTACATCGATTAACAGATAAAATAAATAAATAAAAAATAAATAAATTCGACGTGTTCGCGTACCGGGCAGGTCAAGAACAAGGAGTCGTACAACTTCCTGGTCAAGAACCACCTTTCCGCTTCCGATTGACAGATGCCATGACAAAAATAAGTTTAGTTCTGGTCAGAGAAATTAAACGTCAAAGAATAAAGTAGCGCCGCGTTCACGTGCACAGACGAGTGTGTGTGTTTGTGTAGTTGTAGAGGTGTGTAGCGGCCAACACGGTTTTACTCTCAAGTTTGGATTTAACAGGCTCTGGTCAGTACTGTCCATATACATGTATAGTCATGTAGATACCGCAACACACAGTAATGCATGGACCACAGTAATGCATGGCCCACAGTAATGCATGGACCACAGTAATGCATGGACCACAGTAATGCATGGACCACAGTAATGCATAGACCACAGTAAGGCATGGCCCACAGTAATGCATGGTCCACAGTAATGCATGGCCCACAGTAATGCATGGCCCACAGTAATGCATGGCCAACAGTAATGCATGGTCCACAGTAATGCATGGACCACAGTAATGCATGGTCCACAGTAATGCATGGCCCACAGTAATGCATGGCCCACAGTAATGCATGGCCCACAGTAATGCATGGACCACAGTAATGCATGGACCACAGTAATGCATGGACCACAGTAATGCATGGACCACAGTAATGCATGGACCACAGTAATGCATGGACCACAGTAATGCATAGACCACAGTAAGGCATGGCCCACAGTAATGCATGGTCCACAGTAATGCATGGCCCACAGTAATGCATGGCCCACAGTAATGCATGGCCCACAGTAATGCATGGGCCCCAGTAATGCATGGCCCACAGTAATGCATGGCCCACAGTAATGCATGGACCACAGTAATGCATGGCCCACAGTAATGCATAGACCACAGTAAGGCATGGCCCACAGTAATGCATGGACCACAGTAATGCATGGCCCACAGTAATGCATGGACCACAGTAATGCATGGACCACAGTAATGCATAGACCACAGTAATGCATGGCCCACAGTAATGCATGGGCCACAGTAATGCATGGCCAACAGTTATGCATGGCCCACAGTAATGCATGGCCCACAGTAAGGCATGGCCCACAGTAATGCATAGACCACAGTAATGCATGGCCCACAGTAATGCATGGACCACAGTAATGCATAGACCACAGTAATGCATGGCCCACAGTAATGCATGGACCACTGTAATGCATGGCCCACAGTAATGCATGGACCACAGTAATGCATAGACCACAGTAATGCATGGTCCACAGTAATGCATGGACCACTGTAATGCATGGCCCACAGTAATGCATGGACCACAGTAATGCATGGACCACAGTAATGCATGGCCCACAGTAATGCATGGTCCACAGTAATGCATAGACCACAGTAATGCATGGCCCACAGTAATGCATGGGCCACAGTAATGCATGGCCAACAGTTATGCATGGGCCACAGTAATGCATGGCCCACAGTAATGCATGGGCCACAGTAATGCATGGCCCACAGTAATGCATGGACCACAGTTATGCATGGGCCACAGTAATGCATGGCCCACAGTAATGCATGGGCCACAGTAATGCATGGCCAACAGTAATGCATGGCCCACAGTAATGCATGGCCCACAGTAATGCATGGGCCACAGTAATGCATGGCCCACAGTAATGCATGGCCCACAGTTATGCATGGGCCACAGTAATGCATGGCCCACAGTAATGCATGGGCCACAGTAATGCATGGCCCACAGTAATGCATGGCCCACAGTAATGCATGGCCCACAGTAATGCATGGACCACAGTAATGCATGGCCAACAGTAATGCATGGACCACAGTAATGCATGGACCACAATAATGCATGGCCCACAGTGATGCATGGACCATAGTAATGCATGGCCCACAGTAATGCATGGCCCACAGTAATGCATGGACCACAGTAATGCATGGCCCACAGTAATGCATGGCCCGCAGTAATGCATGGCCCACAGTAATGCATGGACCACAGTAATGCATGGCCCACAGTGGTGTGGCCAACTGCAGTTCTGGTAACTGAAATCAGACCCCCTGAGCGGGTCTAGTAGTCTCTGTTTCGTAGTGTTACCATCCCGTGTTGGGTCTTTGCGATGTGAGCTCACCGCTCAGGGGTCGGATTTCAGTTGCTAGCACTGTAGTTCATGACATAGGCAATAAATCAGGTAATTTGGTCAACACAATTCATCAACTGCATCATGCAGCTGTACATCCCCTGAGTCTTCCTCTAATAGAAATGACGGTGGACAAGATCCGAACAAAACAGATCAAGTAGTGTGTCTGGCAAAGGACACACACACACGCACGTGCACACACACACATATAAACACATGCAAACACACATACACACACACACACACACACACACACACACACACAGGCTTACTTCATTAGTCCATAGTCGCACAAGCTGATCCCAGGCAAGCATTAGCTGATCCTCGATATCATTGTTATCGCTGGTTACCACAGATCTGACCTGGCAAGCAGAACAATGAACAATGAACAACGGATATTGAACTGATTGATGCATTCAACTACGCTTATAACGACACTCGGCGGGGCACCAAAAAGTGTCATTCGCGAAGTTTCGTTATACTCGAAGTCTCATTATAAGTTTTACAGTTGGATGGGACTTTGCTCTGGGCATGAACATTCTGTCGTTATTCGCGAATTGACGTTATATCCGCAGTCGTTATTAGCCAAGTTGACTGTATGTCTTTTCGGACTGACGGGCCGGGTACATGCTTGCGGTGAGAACCGGCTGCCTAGCTGCACATAATCAATTATGCAGGGAAGACAATCAGGTGGTCCTTGACAATGCCGGCAGAAAAATTGACAGATTTTGATACTTTTTCTGGTGTGTTTCGTCACTTTGCATGTTTGGTATGTAGATAAAGAAATGGAGAATTCAAGGAAGTGTCTGGCATAATGTTTGTATGGTTCTCTGCCAAATTTCACTGCTATTCAAACATAATCTGCCAATTTGCCGAGCGCTATACGCATATGGCTACAAACAGGTGCTGATGCTGTGAACAGCACAATACGTGGACATATACGCAATCTAACCCCCCCCCCCCCCCTAATGGTAAACTATTGTGTCCATTCCCGAAGGGAACTCACGACGGCCGCTAACACCCTGTAAACCCTGAACAGCACAATACGTGGACATACACGCAATCCCCTCCCCTTATGGGTACCAAAGCCGGTCCAGTAGGCTCGGCTCAAGCCGTACCAATAGCCTGGTTGAGTTTCTCCTCGGCCACCCACATAGTGAAAAGTATTTTGAGTTCTAACATTTCGCATAAGGCAGTGTTGGCAAATGGCAAACGGCACGAATTGGCTTGATTTTTCATAAATCCACAGAGGGAGGTCCCCCCTTTACTACACCCTTTGGGTGAAGCTGCACGAATCGATAATAGCTTCTGATGCCCATGCCCCCCCCCCCCCCACCCAACAAAACACATGTGAATACACACCACCGCCACCCCTTCCCTCCCTCCCTCCCTCCCCTCAGACCTCAGACCTGCCCATCGCGGAAGCGATGATAGCGAACAGCTATGTTAGACATAGCAACTTGTGCTGGGATTACACCATTCAACAGCTTGCAAGGCTGATGAATTGACCGCCACTATTTTTAGCCTGGTATCCACCACACAGCTGATTGAAGTGACTTTTTCTGGCCAGTGAATCCCTATTTTTCATTTTTCCATTTTTTCTTTTTTTCTACACACACACACCACACCACATACTCCGGCATACACTGGCTGTTGGTAACCACCCAGGAGAATGAAAGAAAAGTCAGGAAGAGACCGAGAAAGAGAAGACGTGTGCGACCATAATCGTCGGGAATTGAACCCGCAACCTCTCGATTGGAAATCAACTGCATATACCACTGCACCATATGGGACACACACACTCCCTCCCCACACACACACACGGACACACCAGGGAGTCCAGTGTCCCTCATTGAGGAGACGGAACGATACCTACCCCGGTGCGTATCCAATTTCGACCTTGCTGATGTGCTTGTTCCTTCATGCTTTGTAACATACCCGTGACATTGCCTTCACCCTGCCACATACTTCAGCAAAGAAAATATGCAGTACGCCGCAAGCACAAACACACACACACAGTCACACAAACACACACTTGTACTTGTCGCTCACTGCCAAAACTCGTCACGTGGGATTCCCCGGGAGAGGGGTGAGAGACTCAAAAGAAATCTTGGAAAGATGACTCAATTGGCTATTGAACCGCCCAACGGCCGACACCCCCATGAAATCTTCAAAACTATGGGTGGACTTGAAAATGATCCCACTTATGGGCTCACCACACCTCAGTAAATGGGTGAGGACAAGGTGCAGAAAAAGGATTGAAGGCATCAGGGTATCCGTCCCGGGATCCAACTGCAGTTACCCCTGCCCCCCAGTGAAGGTAATACTTGCTACTAGTGTGGGTGGCTAAATCAGAGTGGATCTGATACAAGCTTCACTAGCACCATGATTACACAAGAGTTAATCTAGCCAGAAGTAGTCCATGGTTAACAGGTATGTATACTTCAAATAGAAAGTATATGAACCCTGCAACCAACGAAGGTGGTAGGTACAACATTACACCTTCAAGCAGCCGAGCCCGTTGGCAACAGACCCAACGCTATCCGGCATAAGTGTACCCACCAACCAAACTAGCTGGCACAAACACACACACCCACGCGCACACACACACACACACACACACACACACACAAACACACACACACACACACACACCGACTGGCTCTTTGTAACACTGTGCACTGTTCCAGGTCATACAAATCCCTGGGCAAGTCTACCAACACAGTCCCACAGCCAGGGAACAAGACAATCTTTTGAACACAATTTCAAGCAGAGCAATTCCGGCACTAGCTGGAACTTGCCGTACCGCTCACCTTCTCAACTCTGGATACATCTCAATGACGTGCTGTCCAAGAGTGGTGCTTTGTCGAATGATGTGGCCACTCTCACTTTGTACCTGCGCGCCATCACCATCCACAACAAATACAAAACAAACAGAGCAACTGAACGCTGAGCAGATTAAACAGTGCAGTGTAAACTGAGTAGCGAAAACTGGGCAGGGGGAACTGGGCAGGGGGAACTGGGCAGGGTAACTGGGCAGGGTAACTGGGCAGGGTAACTGGGCAGGGGGAACTGTGTAGTGACAGGAACCTGGAGTAGTACCATATCAGACGTGTTAATACTATACGACGAAGTGCTTATTCAGCCCCCGAAATTTTATCTCTGACAGCTCTCTGAGAGGTTTGGCAGTGATGTAATCAAACTAATCATCTACAGTGTCCCCACTAACACGCAGACTTTGACTTAAAGTCTGCGTGTAAACGCATTCTGATGCTTCCGATTGGAGACTCAACATTACAATTCACTTCAGCGTGGCCAGGTCTTACAGTCGCCTTGCTCCTTTCTACAATCTTAAATCCCTCGCCAATACTTCATTCTTCCAGCTAGTGTGCAACCAGATGCACTTATCTAAAAACTACTATGACAGCAGAATTGCTGGGCGTATTTACACAGTTCATGCATATCTCGCATATGCAGCACTTTAGAGTACCGAATGGGGACTAAAGTGGAAGTGACTGAAGAAGCTTATAGAACAGAAAAGGACCAAGGAACTACAAGTTACGCTATACGCTACTGGAGAAGCTTTTGTGAAGTAAGGGATATGAGTCAATCAAGTTCTAAATCGCTTTGAGAAATAGTTCACTACATGAGGCTTGCCCTGCAGGGCTGTGAGCCGTACCTGAACAGCCAAGAAGAATGCCATCAGGAGAGTGGTCACACACAACACTAGGATCAACAGCAAGGACACAAACTTGTCCGTTGTCGACAGCAGACCACTGACTATCTGAAAACAAGTGATGAGAAAAGTGAAGAAACCAGCGGCGGAGAGAGAGAGAGAGAGAGAGAGAGAGAGAGAGAGAGAGAGAGAGAGAGAGAGAGAGAGAGAGAGAGAGAGAGAGAGAGAGAGAGAAAGAGAGAGAAAGAGAGACATTGTGACTGTTGAAGGACAATTCTAATCTGTCGCAAAAGTAGCATGTGATGGAAAACACAGGCAGATACAATATGAACAATTCGTTCATAGAACACTTAAAAGCAGACTTCCAACTGATTTTTCCACCAAAATTGTATGACCTGCATCTGCACCTGCATCTGCATATGCATCTGCATCTGCATCTGCATCTGCACCTGCATCTGCACCTGCATCTGCATCTGCACCTGCATCTGCATCTGCACCTGCATCTGCATCAGTTTGTGGATCAACACCTGCAACCAAATTCTTTAACTTAATTGACTTTAACATAGGCCAATCAAGCAATATCATTGGGTACCATAAACATCTTGACACTGCATTTTACATACCTTCTTGTCTGCTTGGCTGATAAATCTGAGGATAGCGCGCATTGGTGGAGGCATGAGCGCATCTCGACGCGAGTGTATCCATGTACCGATCAAGTGCTGGGGTCTGGAAAGCTGCAAAATGTGCCACAGAAATACAGCATGAGACTATGTCTTGGGAAGGGGGGGGGGGGGATCTAATGCCCTAATGCCCACTCAAACACACAAACACAAAAAACATCTTCCCTCCCCATACACGCAAATACACAAATACACACATACCTCTCTTGCAAATGCCGCCTCGCCTATTGAATAATCTGCGAGGAGATAATAATTTTAATAGAGCTATGATTAAAATGAAGGCCGCAGACATTGCGCAACTCAGTTACTTGTTTGGCATGTATGTGTATTTAATAAGTATAACAAAAATAATTCCCAAGCTCTACCTGTAGGAATATTCAAACATTACACCCTCCACCAAGACACCCCCCCCCCCCCCACACACAAGACTCGTGTAAGTGCATTTTAGCACAATGAAAGAGACCATTTTTATGTTGACAGTTTCTTGCTTTCAAAGCACCGTATCAAATTTCTAATCAGAGTAGAGAAATGTAATACAGGGCTGCATACTTACATAGACAATGGTGTCTGCGTGTTTCATATGCAAACAAATAACTGCAGTATTGGGTAGAAGAAAGCTCACAGGGCAATAAAAACCTCTCCAGATCCAGTAACCATTTGACTCTATACTTCAACCTCACGAACAATAACAGGTTTCTACTACCAGATCGATTGTCGTTACTTGCAACGCCAACTGTTCAATGCGTGCTCCCTAGCCCACAACAATTTATTTATTTATTTATATTTACAACAATTTATTTACTTATACAGCATCTCCTGGCTCGCCGAAAGACTGCCAAAAGTGGGAATGTGATCTGTTTTGTGTGTGTTCGTATTTAACCCTTTGTGTACCAGCCCCATCTGGAACCGTAACATATGTTACGGTTCGACGCGCCGTTCGGCGGCGTCCTTGCTCCGATCTACTCGCGGTTTGTTGCGCTGGACAGTTGAGAAAAATTTCAATGTATGCTGTGGGTAGGTTGCCATTTTAAAGTATGGAGAACGACCGCGGCGAAACGTGCGCTTTGCAAATTCAGACTCTCCACTCGCCCTGGCCTAAGCCGGGGGGGGGGGGGGGGGGGGGAGGGGAGAGAGTCTCCGAGATGAAGGGTGGCGACCAACCACGGCTAACTACCGTATTTTACCGGTTGTAAGTCGACCCCAGTTATAAGTCGACCTCCCTATCTGGAGGTCTCAATTCTGCGTTTTAAAGTTTTCACCCAAAGAAGCACTACTAACCACCTCCTGCTACTAACACATCAACAAATCATGTAAACATTCCTTATTGGAGGATATAACGTCCCAATCCTTGGAAAAGGCCAATAAACTGGCAAAATGTGTAAACATGGTGCACTCGTGCATGCAGTGCAGGTCATTTTTTGTAAGATACTGATAGTTCCCGGTTATAAGTCGAACCCCGGTTGTAAGTCGACCCCCACCCTTTCTCCTTCTATTTTCAGTCGTAAAAGGTCGACTTACAACCGGAAAAATACGGTAATTCGCAACTCACCAGCTGGCGGGTGGTGTCAACAATGCTGAATCGCTCCAGGATGAGCCGTACCACAATCAACGTGGCAGGGATGAGCAGCAAGCACAGCAGCCACGGGAACTTATAGAGCATGAGAGCAAGGCAGCACCATACAACGGCGTAAAAGTAGACACCGCTGTGTTCCAACTCAGGACCAATGAACTCCTGGAATACACTGCGCTTGCGATGGGCACGGTTGCTCCACGAGCGACGCAGTTCGTAGCTGGTGGGAGAGTCGCGTCCTGTTCACACACGCACACACACACACACACACACACATTTGTGCGTGCATATGCACCCACGCACATACACACACCCACGCACACACACATACAAACACATAAACAGACACGCACGCACGCACACACAAAGACATACCAAAATGAAAGTACCACACTCAGCACTGCTCTCTAACTGTAACGCATCACGTCTGCATCACGTCTGCATCACGTCTGCATCACGTCTGCATCACGTCTGCATCACGTCTGCATCACGTCTGCATCACGTCTGCATCACGTCTGCATCACGTCTGCATCACGTCTGCATCACGTCTGCATCACGTCTGCATCACGTCTGCATCACGTCTGCATCACGTCTGCATCACGTCTGCATCACGTCTGCATCACGTCTGCATCACGTCTGCATCACGTCTGCATCACGTCTGCATCACGTCTGCATCACGTCTGCATCACGTCTGCATCACGTCTGCATCACGTCTGCACAATGTCCCATGTCAGTGATGTGCTATGCAGTCAAAACACAGTTTACTGGAAAAGAAGGGGATTCGCAGTGATTGACACAGGACACAATGTTCTGGAGTGAATACCCACGCATATTTCATGCCTTCAAATCTCCCAGCTCACAGACTTGTTAAACAGGGAGTCGTACAATCTAGGAAGACGACGTAGGACGATCGAAGTACCCAATACTGCATGTAACATGCGATAGCAATTCAGGACTTGACCAAGTAAATCCTAATGCATTCCATAAAAATAAACGAAGCCATGGGCACACAGATGTGAGCCAAGTCGGACCTAACCCAAGAGCGACTGTAATTGGCAGGCCGGAATTAAAAACCCACATCAGTTCACGTTCCACGTGCCTGTGTGGTCTCCCTAGACGCTACGACTCCATGAGTTCAACTCACATGTCTGGAACCTCATCTAAAGTAGGTGTTTATGCACGCATGCATGCTCAAGAAGGCGCTCACAACATCATCAGCACACATGCATACACACGTGAGCACTATCCACACATTGAACGAATGGCCCCTTGCTCTACACTGCCATGTGTGCTCATTGTAGTGTAAGCACTACCCACACTTTGACAAAGAGAGTTACTTGCTCCAAAGTACTGTACCTGGAGAGGATGGGGGCACGGGTCGTGCATCAGTTTCGTCATGCGACAGTGATGACAGCAGCATGTCGGAAGCCTGTTCTTCCTCTTGATCTTCATCATCATGCTCCTCTGCAGAGGTAAGGAAAATGGGGAGATAAAAAAACGAAAAAAGATAAATTATCGCGTCCGTTCCCGAAGGGAACTCACGACGGCCGCTAACACCTGGTAAACCCTAGCGGCATACGCAGAGCCTAACGGTGGAAGTGAGTGGATAAGTCTCGTAACCACTGGCACAAGTGCCGACAAACGGGGAGATAGGTACATGGAATATACACATTGAGACTAAGGGGCAAATGCAGTCAATTTGTCACAGCCACAAACAATGCTCTAGAAGGATAACTAGATGTCGGTTCCGGGAAATTGGGATTCACTGACCTATTCCAGACTAAAGGAAATCAAGAATTCGCATCACCAACAGCAGCTCATTCTCATACTTTGCTTATGCTGCTCTCGGTCTTTGCCTCTGTATCTCTATCTCTTTCCGTCTCAAAAATAGTACCTCCTTTGGAAAAACAATTGTTGTACAAATTCAGCAAAATGTCAGGCAAGATCCACGAGCAGAATGATTTCGAAGACTCCACTGCAGCCGTATTTGCTGTTGGATAAGATGTTGGCGAAAAGACTCAAGACACGCCCTGCATTATGACGATAAACACACGCCAACCACAAACACCTCTCTAAGCTGAAAGGTTACGCTGTGGCTTAAAGAGTCTTCTTCTCACAACCACCGCCATCAGTTCGCGCCTGGTTGATGCATGGCGGGTGAAAGCGGACATAGCAGGCTGGCGCATAAGATAGTGCTTGACAAGGCGCAAGATTCGAACCGATATACAGTTGCGTTCGGTAAAATCCGACCAACGTGCAAAGCTGGCGCCCTGGACCAGTTTTGATTACATCATTGTACAATGAAAATTGTGCACATCAAGCAGCATTCGGGCCACTTCCACGGCGTCAAGGGCCGTGCAAGTTCAGGGCGCGAAATATACCCTTTGGGTCAGATTTCACAAAGTAGAACTTTACCAGGGTGCAGCTTTGCAGCCTAGACAGCCCGGGTGTGCCAGGCATGTGCAGACCATCATTTACTATTCAACCATGGCTCATCAGCAGGACGAAACCTAGAGAAATAGATGAGACAAAGTGAAGGACACAGGGGCAGCCGTGGCCCAATAAATCTGACGCACATGCCGAAAGCAGTGCCAAGGCTCATGCGACCGCTGCAGCCCTCGCATAGGTTTGTTTGACCGTGTATGACGAAATTGAATTGGAAACTTGACGATACTTTTGACTCGCGGGTCAGATTTCTTTGGCCCCGACTGTATAAGAATACCAGTAGCAAAGAAATTACTTATCTCACCAGGCTGTCCAGCTAGTGCACCCAGAAGACACAACGATGTCACAAGGATGAAGAGTGAGAGTCGATACGATGGCACCAAAGTAGCAAGGTAGAGCAGAATTGTGAACCAGACGATGGAGGACAGGTGACGCATCACGTGCCGTGTCCGGCCCGACCAGAAGACAATGAGCACCGCAATGACCGTCCACACCTGCCTTGGAGCACACCAACATGAACATTGTGCTGCAATGAATACGTTCAACGACAATAGTATTACAATTTTAAAAGAGGATCAAAAGTTTACAAATTATCCGTTTTGTCCAACACTAACGGTTATAAGCAGAGTCAAAAATGTGTAAAAATTACTGCAATTACTGCAATTATTTGACTCAACAGTATTCTGCTTGTAATCGTTAGTATTGGACAAAACGGATTACGTGTAAACTTATGGTCCTCCTTTTAAATTTTAATCCTTGCCTCTCCATCCGAGTTAAATCGACAACATTATTGCTTCTCGATTGACGTAGCTGGTTCGTGTGATGGCTAGGCAGCCCGGGGGATTACTGATTCGTAGGGATGTGTTGTGTCACTGACTGTGAGGAAACAACTGAACACCGTATTCTGTGGAATATATGCCGCACGGGAGTATAAGCGGTACCCCATTGTTTTGGGCACGAGATACAGATGTCTACCTTATTTATCACCGTTAAATTGATCATCGGAGTATAAGCCCCCCCCCCCTTTTTCGGGGGAGCGGGTGAATTTTGAGTGTTCAAAGTGCGGCTTATACTCCGTAAATATGCGGTAACTAGAGAGTCAAAAGGTTCCGAGTTATGACTAACTGTCCACCAACGTAACCAGATCTTATAAAGTCAGCCATACGGTCATAACTCGTAACATTTTGTCCTTCACCTTTTTCACCATAATTCAATTGGCTCACAATCCGAGTTCACCTAGAGAGTCCATTGCATTATCACAACCCACTCACCAGATATATGTAACCGTAAACTCTGACGAACTCCATGAAGTGCGATGCTGTGTCTACACCCTCAATAGAGCGTTGCAGAGCAGCGAACACTGGCAGGTTGTTGAGAATGTAAACACATGTCAGCAGGCCCGCCATGCATGCAATGGCCTTCCACTGACGATACAAAACATCCTGCGACGTACGACGAAGCCAGGCCAGGAAATGCAGCGGCAGCACTACTATTCCCAGCCACAGTGGTGTGTTGTTGATCTGCATGAGCCGGAGCCTCGTGTTCAGGACGTGCGTGCTGCAATGCTTGATCGGGAACAAGAATACTCCGCACAGCACAGCCCAGAGGAGAGGTCTGAGAAATGCGGAGAACACCTGATAAAGTGCGAACGCTACGATGCCCACAATCACGACAAACACATTGGCTGCCGACTGGTAGAACGCTTTGGTCACTTCGGTCTTGTTCAGTGCCTCTTCGCCCAGCAGTCTGCCTATCGTATAGTCAAACAACGTATCTTCGCGTGAATTCTGAAACATCATCCGTCGTCTCTGACCCATGGCGGATCTACCGGAGGGAGCTGAGAAGGTGGCGGAAGGTAGCGATACCGATGGATCGTCATCGCTAGCGCTGCCAGGAGCGGTAACACAGGCGTCATTTCTTTCAAATTATCCCAAAGGCGTTTCGGGGGTGAGGCAGAAACGAGAGCCAATACTTTATTTCGAGGGTACGACTTAGAATGTTTCAATGAGTCCAATGAATATTATCTGCAGCGTAGCTGGACAGATTGCTTTTCAAAGCAAAAACAATCAACAAACAGAAACACAAACAGCGAAAACAAAAGCACTTTTCTACATCTACAAAAAAATTACGTAATCTTTCGGTTTCGAAGGCCCACGTCACGAGTCACGTGCACACGTAGATCTACGTGTACGTGAGGTTGGACTCGTCTTTCTACATACTGTATACAATGTAAAAGCCATTAGTATTTTAATACCGTATTTTCTCTAAGAGCCCGCGGTTCTTATTTTTTCAGTGACAGCTCTACCCGCGCTGCTATTACTATTAGAGACTGGGCTATTATAGGGCTTGAAAGTGCTACGTCACAGCATAGCAACAATTTCAAAAATTCAAAAATTGGATCCACTTGGATCCAGTTTTTGTATGGATCCAAGCACATTTCAAGCCGTCTTACTCACAGCAAGGTGATGTAACCAGTGAAACTGACTGATTTGGCTACTGGGGGCGGGATTACAACTGGTGGCGAAGTAAAAGTCACCCCTGCATACGACATGAGTGGGTTGCTATGCGCCCACATACTGAGGCAATAGCAAAGTCACACCTTAGTGGATCCAAAATAGAAATCTGATGTCAACTTAGTACTCCCTGGCCGTTTTTGACGTCATCACTTTCAAGCCCTATTGGAGACTGGGCTCTTACCGTAAAATTCCGTCAATAAGCCCCAGCGTATAGTATACTTTGCAGAGCGTCAAAAACCGGGCGTACATGTATATTTGGGCATGGGCGTTATTTCTGACGCAATCTGCAGAAGATGAGAAACCCAGTAGTTTTGTAGCGTTGGCACGCTAGTAACTTACACAGCTGCAGCGTGTCTTTCAATGTATTGGTCACGCGTGTTGCACCGCACCCTGCACTTGCAACTCTTACTACCATGCTTGCAGACCCATGACGTGCATAGTAACTAGTCTCACTGTGTTCATGTATTACTCCCACACACTAGGATGACCTGAGGAATACTAGCACATGTACCCTGTAGACCCTTTTGATACATTTCACTTTCGACCTCCTTTTCATTTATCTACACACATCCTAATGAGACTTCCTTAGAATTCCTAATGGCTGTCTTCCCGGTACCTCCTTTACGCCCATTGCCCACACTGTTATTCAGCTCCTTCTTCTGCATAGAATCAAATGGCATTCCTTGTGCAATGACTGTGGCCCACACATCTTACTGTGACCTTTCTTCTTCTACTCTACGTATCCCCTGGCTATAGGCTAGCTTACTTACACTAACAATTCCTCACCCTATAAAAGCTGCTGTTCACAATTCTCTTCATGTCAGTTTAGAGTTAGAGTCAGAGTTAATGTTTAATAATTATTAACAGTGTGTTCACTGAGACCCGTCTGCATTTGCCTCCGAGAGAGACTGCGGCCCGTTACAGAATTGGTGGCAGCGGTAAATTCATTTTGTTTCATTCTATAACTATCTTTGTTACTTTCCACGTTACTTCAATACGATGGCTCAACCTAATGTACCTGCCGGGGCACCCGCCGCCGCGCCCGCCGCAGCCCCAGCTCCGCCCGCGCCTGCCCAACCACCGAGAGGGGCGTACCATGTGCAGCCGGAGAAATACAAGGGTCGCCTGGAGGACAACTTCGCGTCCTGGCTGATGCATTTCGACCAGGTCGCCGCGGTAAACAACTGGACCCCCGTCCAGCAAACGCAGTTCCTGGGCCTCGCACTGGAGGGCGAGGCCCAGCTGTATTACCAATCGCTCCCTGCGGCCACCAGGAACGGAGGCCGCCAACAGCTCGTCCAGGCGCTGCAGGCTCGGTTTGAGCCAGCGCAGCGCGTCGACCTCCATCGCGCAACATTTCAAGCTCGTCGCCAGGCCAAAGAAGAACAACTGGGGGCTTTCTGTGAGGCTGTTCGCTCCCTGGCCCGGCAAGCATACCCCCAGATGGCCGCGGGGGACCTCGACAGTCTAACCAAAGACCAATTCATCTCTGGGCTCGACTCGCGGGGCATGCGGGTCCGCGTTCGGGAGCTCAACCCGCAAACGACCGACGGGGCACTCCAGGCCGCGCTCCATCACCAGGCAATCCTCGCTGCCGAACTGCCCGCCGCGGACCCTGTGCCGATCCCCGCCTTTGCTGTTTCCCAGCCACTCGACGCGGTGACAGACCAACTGAAGGCTGTGTTAGACCGTCTGGCAACGTTGGAGGCCAGTCTGCCAGGACCAACTCGTCGTTCCCGACCTGACCAACCACCACAGCCCCCGCAGACGCAAGGCCGCACACCTGTCACCTGCTGGTCATGTGGTCGCCAGGGTCATATCAGCCGAGAATGCCGTGCCCGTCGTCCTGCGCCGGCGGGAAACTACCGGCGGCAGTACTAAGTACCTCGGACACTAGGCCTGCCGCATCCTGCTCTTCCGGGACTGACGTAAGCACTGTGTTTATATGCCTTGCTGTCTTGCTCCTTACCCACCCTGTTACGCTCACGATTTTAACTGTTTTGCTCGCTGTGCTGTACCGCCACCGCCTCCCTGATGTACGTGCTTTCTTCCCCAACCTCTCCCCATTACACCTTTTTTCGTCGAGCTTGTCCCGACGCGACCATGCATGCCGCCTCCCTGTAATACCCGTGACTGTGAACGCAGTCGGTTCCAATGCTTTGTTAGACAGTGGGTCTTCCAAGTCAATTGTGAGCAAGAAGCTGTGGGATTCCCTGAGGAATCGCCCGTCCCTGTCCCCTCCGCCTCCCTCATGCATCCTTTCTGTGGATGGCTCGTCCGTAGCGATTTTGGGTCAAGCTGAGTTGCACATTTCTGTTTCGCCCACCACCCCGCCTGTCCTGCATGATTTCTTAGTTGCCTCCATCCATCCCGAGGTCATTCTAGGGGTTGACTTTTTGCATGCCCAAGCGTGTTCGCTTGATTTCGCCGCTTCCACCATGTCCATTGCTGGTCAGGTTATTCCCCTGCATTCCCCCGCCCTGATCCCGTCACCTGTCCATGCCGCTTCGCTCTCCGCTGATCCCGTTGTGATCCCGTCCCCTGTCCATGCCGCTTCGCTCCCAGCTACTCCCGTTTTATGCACGCTTCCCGCTGCTGTGACCGTCCCGGCCATGTCTCATTACATCTGCTCTGCTAAAGTTGCTTCCTGCCATTCCGATAGCCCCCTGCTGTTTGAGCCATGTGAGTCTACGTGCAGTACCCACCACATTGTCGGCCTCGCTACGCTGGCTACCGTCACTGATAACATGGTGCCCGTCCGTCTGATCAACCCCAACGAGCACCCCATCACACTACCTGAGAACTGCCCGCTTGGCTCTCTGTCACCAGGCACCATCGACCCTTCGGCCACACAACCTCCTGCTGATTACCCCGCTGAGTACACCTCTGCTGCTGCTACCGCTCAGTCTGTCACTGCTATGTTCAACACCAGCAATCTGCCGCCTGACCAACAATCCCAGCTCCACGCTCTGCTAGAGGAGTTTTCCGACATCGTCTCAACTGGCCCATCTGACGTGGGTCGCACTCAAGTCATCACTCACGACATTCCTACTACAACGGACCAGCCTATTCGGATGCAGCCTCGCCGCCTGCCTGTGCACCGTCAAGCTGAGGTACGTGATCATATTGACCGACTCATTGACGATGGTATAGTGGAACCTTCCGCGAGTCCATGGGCTGCTCCGATAGTTGTTGTGCGCAAACCGGACGATAGTATCCGCCTCTGTGTCGATTACCGCAAACTCAACCAGCGCACTAAGCGTGATGCCTTCCCGTTACCCCGCGTCGACGATGCTATTGACGCCATGCAAGGCTGTAAGTACTTCTCGACACTAGATTTGGCATCCGGTTACTGGCAGGTAGAGCTCACTGAATCTGCTAAGGCAAAGTCTGCCTTTACCACTCCGTTCGGCTTATTTCAGTGGAATGTTATGCCTTTCGGATTGTGCAACGCACCTGGTACATTCCAGCGCCTAATGTCCACAGTGCTTCGTGTCCTCATCCCAGCAATCTGCCTCGTATATCTAGACGATATCATTGTGTTCTCCAAGACGTTCCAAGAGCATCTCACCAACCTCCGCGCTGTGTTCCTGTGTCTCCGCAAAGCTGGTCTGAAGATCAAACCATCGAAATGCAACCTCCTACAACCGTCTGTCGTCTACCTGGGCTTTCACTTCGCCCACGATGGCATCCGTCCTAACCCTGGTAAACTGGAATCTGTCCGCACATGGCGTCAACCCACAAGTAAGACAGCAGTTAGGACATTTCTTGGCTTTGCGTCTTATTACCGCCGATTTATTCCAAAGTTTTCGATGCTTGCCCAGCCATTGCATGCCCTCACCGAATCCAAGGCCACGTTTGCTTGGTCAGATGCTGCAGCTCAAGCTTTCAATGCGCTGAAACATGCACTCCTTACCCGCCCGGTTCTTGCATACCCCATTCCGAATCACACGTTCATCCTCGACACCGATGCTAGTGACTTTGCTATGGGCGCTGTCCTCTCTCAGGAAGATTCCAATGGCACAGAGCATGTTGTAGCTTACGCTAGTAAGAGCCTTTCACATAGCCAACGCCGCTATAGTGCTACTAGAAAGGAACTTCTAGCTGTTGTCACGTTCTGTGAATACTTCCGTCACTATCTTGCTGGCGCACACTTCACACTACGCACTGATCACAAAGCTTTAGTCTGGCTGCACAACTTCACTGGCACAGATGGCTTGCTTGCTCGCTGGATTGAACGCTGAGCTATGTTTGATTACCGCATTGTCCATCGCCCTGGTAAGGCTCATGCTAATGCGGATGGTCTCTCTCGCAAATCTCCTCCACCGCCCGCCGAACCTGCTCTGACGAATGCTGCCATTAGTACTGATGCTCCGCTGCCTCCTTCATCACTAACGTGGATCCATGAGGCCCAACACCAGGATCCTGATGTCACTGCAGCCATGACATGGGTCCGGCAGTCACAGCGGCCTGATCGTCACAGCCCTGAACTGCAAG